TTCCAAGAGCCTAGAAGGACAGCTCAAATGGATTGAAACTCTTTTAACCCAAAGAACCTCAACTATGGGACCAAAATATCACATAAAACACCTCAAAACTAGATCTAAGCATGCAATGTTCAAGGTTTAAGCTTTATACCTCAAATAAGTCATAAATGATGCTAAACTTTTGGATCTATAAGCCCTCTTCAGGTCATCGCTTCTTCTCCAAACACCTTCTTCTTCAACACCACCAAATAACACCAAAAATGCCCAAGGTAAGGTCAAAATACATACAAGAGGTCTAGGGTTCGGTTCTAACACTCTAAGGGAGATGGAGGTTGAGAGAATGAGGGTTAGGAGGGACATACGTTCTTTAAATCGGGTGTAAACCCTAAAATTTAGGGTTTGCTTCTGGCCAGACTACGCCCAGCGTATGCAAGGACTTCCCTCGATTCGCGCCTCACTTGTGTATGTCGTGCGTACACTATTACGTGTAACGTCCGCAGATTCGGGCTAGTCAATTTAGAGACAATAAGCGTCAAAAATGACTTTTGATAGAAGTTTATTTAGAATAAATAATCTTAACCAAGTTATAGTATATGTCACAAGGGTTACGTACATATAAAGAACTCTGAAATCCGAGTTATAACGAAGAAGTTATGACCTATCGAAGTTTTACGGCTAAACCGTCACGGCACTGCGTAACGTAAAAAGTGAATTTTTGATAAATTACTTTTTAGCCTTCGCGATCTAAACGAAAGTCGTAGTATACGTTAAACCGAGATCGTGCATAAAAAGAACGCCCAAATCTGACTTCGTATGAGGAAGTTATGATTTTTCTAAAATTTGGCACAGCAGTGCACAGCCCGAAATTCGAATTTTAGATCGATCAATTTTTGGCTAACGCAACCTAAATGAGAAATGAAGATCTCATTAATAGGAGCTCAACAATAAAAAGACAGACGAAAATGGAGTCTGTATGTAGGAGTTATGAAATTTACACGGTCATTTAACAGTGTAATCTTCTTATACTATTAAATTTAAAATCGGTCGAGAAATTTCCGATGGAGTCAAAATAAGAGTTGTAGATCTTGTCAATACGTACGCGTGGATATAAAGAACATCAAAAACGGAGCTCGTATGCGAAATTTATGGGGTTTAGAAGTCGGCAGGGTGCTGCTGCGAAGAGGGTGACGTGGCTGAATCTGGGCCATTACTTTCTCCCCAAGCCTTGCCACCAGAAGGTGACATGTGGCACCAACTCGACGAGTTGGAGGCCATAACTCGATGAGTTGAGCTGTATTTCAGCCTATAAATAGCATGTTGGAAGGTCTCCATAATTCTCACACCAAAACCCACTTCTCTTTCATTCTAACTTCTCTCTAAACATCCCAAAACCATTCTAAAGCCCTAGTAACCTCAAGGTGATAGAGGAAAGCCCCAGAGCGCCCGAAGGCTCTGAAAAAAAGAGCTTTTTGGCTCAGAAGTTCTGCCCGTGCAGAGCCCGGTTCTTCGCTAAACCCCTGTAAGATGAGTTATGCTTACCGTACTTTAAGTATAACTTATGTTTAAGTTCATTATCATTAGTATGAACCAATAAATAAGATTTATCAGTGATTCCAAGTCATTATAATGACTGATCTACTTACAGGGATGATGTCTAGGTTGTGATTTAGTGAGGTGTTTAAAGTGGGATTTCCAAACAGTATACTTTGTATACCAAACGGACCCTACCTCCGATATGATCATACCTGGTTGTTCCTTACTTGATAGATAATGAAAGTAGACTTTGATTTAATGATGAATCTAGACTAATAATTAGTCGCCATAAAGATTAGACTAAAACTTAGCAATAATAATGCTAGGTTTCTTCAAAGGAAAATAGAATCGTTAGAAGCGAAGCGCCACCCGAGTTTAGAATCATCACTTAACAAGTGAGTGCATAGTCCCTTTCATGAACATGATTTAAATACAAGTATTGATTGAAGTATTAAATATATGTTTATGTGTGAAGTATTTGATGTTGCCTGAAATACGTGTTAAAGAGCATACCTGATAATATATGATGATTTAGGATAAAGAGTAAACCTAAATTAATTATGAGGAATATTGGGTAGTATCTTCTTATAGGTACGAGTGAGACATACACGGAGAATAGAACTTTAAATTATGTCATAGATCCGGGAGCATGGATTAGACATAGGCATTCGTCCCTAGTCCGAGAGTATGGATTGGGCATAGTTATTTGTCATTAATCTGAGAGCATGGATTAAGACATAGTCAGTTGTCCTTAGTCTGAGAGTATGGATGGGACATAGTTGTTTGTCATTAATCCGGGAGTATGGATTTAGACATAGACAATTGTCCCTAGTCCGAGAGTATGGAATAGGCACAATTATTGATCCGAGAGTATGGATTAGATCCGGGAGTATGGATTAAGTAAAGAGATAAATTTTAAGGTCCAAGAGTATCGATAGTGTCGTTGTGTGGATCGACAGGGTGAGGTAAGAGTTGCTTATATATATGGTGAAATTGTATACTTTGTGAGTTCTAATATATATA